TTGTAGGCTAATTAATTCATCCACTGTCAAACAGCCAAAAATATGGATTTATTTCCTAAAATAAGTTTTGAATTGAACTATGAATGGTCAGCAGAGGAAGATGAGGGAGAGGAGAAGCTGAATCCATCTGAGCACACATCCAGGTTTGTCAGTGTTTCATCAGCGGAGCTCAATGACTTGGAGAAAAGCAACATACTGTCAGATCAGTCGGCTGTGCCTGTGAAGCCACAGTCCACCATGCAGTAACCACAGACTTATTTCACCGGCTGCACAATTAATGGAAATGTGCAGATAAATGTGTATAAAGAGTAAGTGCCTGGCGCACCATGTCTGCGTTACATAGCAACGGTGACAGCGGAGTCCTGAGGGAACTATTTTTGTTGGCGGAAGACAAATAAAATGTTTAAATTATCTATTTTGTCCTCATTTTTCAACATTTCTTAATCAGCCTTGCTTATTTAACTGTTAAACTGTTGTATAAAAGCAATATCACACTTGAGCTCCTGATGTTATACTCGTATATCGTCGATATACTCGATATACGAGTATAACATCACTCCCTCTTGTGTGATATTGCTTAAATATATATATATATACACACACATACATACATATAGGCTACATACACACATATATGTTTGTTCTCTATAGCTGATGTAAAGTGAATTGCTCCTGTGTGGGATCAATAAAGTCCTTATCATAGCCATCTGAGAAGATCAAATACATTGTTTTTGGTGCCTAACTGTTTCCCAAGTATATTAGTGTGTGTGAATGAATAAACGAGAGGCATTAACGTAAATTTCTTTGTAGAAAGGCGCTTTATGAAATTAAGTCCATTCACTTGTATTAGTTTACAGCGCAGCCTTGTCACATCCAATATGGCGGCGACGTTGACGTATCGCAGCAGCGGGCAAACCCACTCGATGCGGCGTCTACGTATATATGTCTGTGCTTGGGACGGTCTAGAAGCTGGTGGACCTCGAACGACTTCCGGTTCAAGGGAGGAGCTAGCAGTAGTACCAGAGATATTGGATAAAGGAGATACCACCGTAGGCTTATCCAATGTTTTTTTTTTTCTCCCAACTTTATTACACAAAGTCTGGCATTACATTCAAAACTTTCAATATAAACATATAGTTTTCCAGACTGAGCATTTACAGCATATTTGTAACAGCACATATATCAATAATAAAATAAAATAAATTACTGAAATAGAAGTCAGAGGTCTAAACAGAAATTAATACATTCAAGTTGTCATAAACAAGGCTTGTTTGGTTTTAATACATTTCAGTGTTTTTTTAAAGTTTGCTATCTCATTCATATAAACTAAGAGCAGTGGGTGGTTCTTCATGAATCTGCATCTGTGGATAAATTGTTTTGCAATAATAATTAAACTGTTATACATCATTTCCCGTTTTTTGTTTTGTATTATAATTCCATACTTAATGTCTTTGTATTCCAGCTTGGGCGACTGATTGTCCTTTTCAGATATCCAG